ACACACACACACACACACACACACACACACACACACACACACACACACACACACACACACACACACACACAGATATGTGTGCATACATATACCCGAAGATACCCACAAACGCACGTACACATATACACATACTATGACTCTAAAGCAAGTACAATATACAGTAGATGCAGTGCGATAAAAACAGCTGCAGTGAATGTGACAATGTATGGAGTTTATCAATTCAACAATACAAATGGGACTTATAAAAGAGTCAATCCGTGTATTGTACTTAATATCACACGCTCTTTCTTTCAGACACGAATTATGTGAGCTTCTTTGATGTCTATAATGGAATAATACTAACCGGTCATGACAGCGAAAGTATCACAGACATCACCCCAGAGGAATGCGCTACAAAATGCCTGGAAGGAACCACCATTGTTCCCCTGGGATCTTGTCTGTCGTTTGACTACGAACATGGCGGTAATGGGGTCTGTATCCTGAGTACGGCAAGTAAAGACACACAAGGCACTACGTTAAACGCTGGAGGAACGCAGTTTGACTACTATCACAGGAAAGGTAAACGTTAACATTCAGGATGATTTTATTTCAAGACGTTTATATGTTACTCCATACCATAGGTATGGGTGAAATATATTGTTCTTCTTCTTCTTCAGTTTACGTGTCGAAACTTCGTTAGGTCGAAGACTCATGACACGGGGGGGGGGAGGGTTGGTCGCGTTATTGTAAGGTTTGTATGGGGTAAGTAAAAGGAGGGACCCAGCTCCTCAATGGGCAGGGGCGCTGCTCCCTGTCCGCCACCCTGCAAGTGGGTAGCGGTGAGTACCCGTACTGTGAATGGGAGACTACAGGTTATTTAGGTCATTTTTGAATGCCTGTAGGGTCTTGGCTTTAACTATGTGTTCTGAAAGTTTGTTCCAGTCTCTGACTGTTCTTGGAAAGAATGAGTTTAAGTGGTAGTCTGCACGCGAAAATGGAGGGTGGAAGGCAAGACTGTGTTCTGTGCGTGATGCAGTTGACAGTCCTTTAATTTGGTGACAAGAGGCATCTGTGTGGATACGATTGTTACCTACATGAATTGTATTGTTTTTGCCTGTGTGTGTCTGTGCCTGTTTATCCACATATTCCTTTATGGATTCTGATGATGTTAGAAAGGTAAGGTTCATGGTGGCTCACCGTGGTACTGCAGCTTAACTTCCGTTCATGTATTTTGTATTACTTTGTAATTTACTGGAATTGCCTTTTTAGACGGTTTTAGCCATTGAAATAACATACATTAACTAGAGTTCCACGACCTCATGCCTTCGACAAATGATGTTAACCTTTACGACTGACAAATTATGAATGTTTCACATTGATTATGGAAATAATATCCTCACTTGCAATTATATCCTTTGATCATATTTTCCATCCAATGACAGTCTTATCTTGAACAAAGAGGGCTATTCTAGCATTTCCTCATCACCATTTTAATTGTTTTATCACAGAATCCAGCAAATATATAGACTTCTGTCATTAATTATGTAAATTAGATCGTGATTTGCAAAATATTCAGAAAATTAGGTCAAGCATCACTTAAGCTACCGAGATACCAAAAATAACAACAATCCGTCAACCGGTTCTTGAGCTATCCTACTTCAAACAAACATTTTCAAACAAATGCCTCTGCATTTCCCAAACAAGCTGCTACGGGGCCCAAACTTATGGCACTTTTTTCTGAGCACAAGAGCTACCTACCATCTAAAAATCATGACCCTAGCACGTCCAGATCACGAAATGTAAAATCCAGAAGTTTCGCTGCAGTACGTTCTAATTCAATGACGTGGGGACCCCCCACGAACCCCATATCCGAACTTGACCTTGGTATTTTCAATGGTAACTTGCCAACTAAAAAACCTGAACATCCATTTAAAGATTCTCGAGTTATCTTGTCCACAAGAGAAAACACAAAAAAGAGTTGCCATACGTAAGACGACCGTGCGAGTAGGAGAGTCTTCCATAGATGGTAGAAACTCCAACAAAATGCAATTATGGCATGCGCTTTATACTAGACAATTAAAAACAATATAGTTGACCAGTTCCAGTTTTAAAATCTCATGATCTAGACATGCTAGGGTGACAAAATTTGGAAAATAAGCTTAAGTAGCTCTTTTTGCTTGGGAAAAAGTGACGTGAGTAGTTTAAAAATATGCGCCAAAACGCTGTTTTCCACGGCTGCATATATTAGCCAGATTTTGTAAACATACATACAATTTAAAGAACCTTTGGTGAAAATATATATTTCTTTGCAAATTAGTGGTACTTTTTGAGCTCGATCCAACAACGTCATTGAATCCTGCATATGAGTTACAACTTACTAGTACTAAAAAAAGGTGTATACCATGTTTCTTATGCGGTTTCCCACACTTGGCCTTGAATCTATTTTTATATACAGTACTAACTTGTCAGGGCTGTTTTCAGAGTAGCTGAGACTCTTGTTATTATAGGACACTTCATTGGTACTGTTCAAACAAACATCACTACACCCTGCCAGTGTTATTGTTATCTTACCCTAGTTCACCCTATCTGTTATCTTAACCTACTACATAGATCAACACGCCTGCATGTGAAAACCCACAACCTACTAGACACTCCAAACTCCTATCTTGCTTCAACAAACAACTCTTTACCCTGGAAATGGTGTGGAAGTGTCCTACAATACCTTCCTATATGGTTTTGTGCCCAAAAAAGCAAGACGACAAATAATTCTTTAAGTGGCTCAAATATCGCACATCTTTTAAAACTACACACGTACATGTAGCTAGTAATGTTAAACTTACAATATACTAGTAAATACATGCACTTTAAAGGCTGTGTAATAGTCCACTAATTACATGTAGTTTAACAGGCACTTGTTATGCAGTTTCCAACACTTGACCTTGAACCTATTTTTGATTTACAGTACTACCTTGTTAGGACTGTTTCCTGGATAGCTTCGATTGTTAAAGGAACACTTGACGGTTACTGTTATCTCAACAAACAACTCTACACCCTTGCTGTGCTGTTGTTAGCGTAACCTACTTAACCCAACTATGCTGTTGTTAGTTTAACCAACTACATAAAAGGACAAAGACTTCGCCTACACTTTAAAAATGTGCAAACAAAATGTCCTTAGGCTATTACACGTACCCACAACCTACTACAGACTCCAAACTTTAAACCCTCAATCTAAAGCCCTTACTCTATTCATAAAAATTTTTTTAAAAATTCCTATTCTACAACTTCAACTACTGAAAAACTAACAATCGCCAAAAGCCCACTACGTAACTGCAGTATGAAAGACATTTAGATTTCTCTTATCAATTAATCAGATTGGGTCAAAATTTACATAATTAATATCTGTTAATGTTCCTCTTCCTCTTGATTAAATATGCCACCATTGTAATTGTTATATTATGGAACGCAGCAGATTTATAGACTTTTGTCATTAATTATGTAAATTAGATCGTGATTTGCATAATTGTCATCTAATTAGGTCAAGCATCACTTAAGCTACCCAGATACCAAGAATAACAACAATCCGTCAACCGGTTCTTGAGCTATCCTACTTTAAACATTTTTAAACAAATACCTCTGCATTTCCCAAACAAGCTGCTACGAGGCCCAAACTTATGGCACTTTTTGTGAGCACAAGAGCTACGTACCATCTAAAAATCATGACCCTAGCACGTCCAGGTCACGAGATTTAAAAACCAGAAGTTTCGCTGCAGTAATTTCTAATTCAATGACGTGGGGACCCCCCACGAAGCCCATATCCGAACTTGATCTTGGTATTTTCAATGGAAACTTGCCAACTAAAAAACATGAACAACCATTTAAAGATTCTCGAGTTATCTTGGTAACAAGAAAAAACACAAAAAACAAAGGTCAACTGCAGTGACATAGAAACCCCCACGGGGCCCATCTCCGAACTTGACCTCGGCATTCTCAACGGTAACTTGCCCACTAAAAATCATGAACATCCATTTAAGGATACTCGAGATATCTTGTACACAAGGAAAAAACACCAAAAACCAAGGTCAACTACAGTGACTTAGTAACCCCCCACGAAGCCCATTTTTAGCCTTGGCAATGGCCACCCCCAAATCAACCTGCCTGCCAAAAATCGTGAACCTCGGACCTTGCTTTCAAGAGTTATCGTGCCTAATCTGCCAAACAGTGCAAAAGCGATTTCATAGCCTTCTCCGAAGGCATAGCCTTCAGTCGAAGGCAATTATTATGTCATAATGACGCCATGTTACGTCATAATGACATTTAAGTTGGTCTTGTTTGATCATGGTGCTAAGTACAATGGTGAGGCAACGCCGGCATTCACGAGATCGAGGCTCGTTTCACGCTCAAAGGACGATGGGTAGACTTCCTGGCGGCAAAGTCAAATTTTTTCCTGTTCTACATCACATGTCTTAGCGAGTTTTTGAGTTGTGATTGTTGATTTTTTAGCAATTTTGTACACATCATTATCAAGATATGTAAATATTTATCCTAAACTTATACTTAGGCCATTTCAATGAAATTTCTTGGTACTGGGATAATAAGCTATTTTCAGGAAATTATTGGATAATTGTCTTCTGTGAAAACATGATACTTCTAGCTTGTCATCCCCCCAATGCCTCCACTGTGCTGAAGTGTCATCTTGTTGTGAAATCATACTTTGATTATCTATAAAAGAATAAAAGGCAACACAGACAATTTCATGACAGGTTTTTTTTAATGACTATCAAAAGGAATGCACAAAAATTGGTACAATACAGGCAATACCTTGGGTTTATGAAAACAATATCTTAAAAATTGTACACAGTGACATTAGTTGACACAAGTTATTCCTATCATAATTATAACGATTCTAGTCAAAATGCATGTATTTACAACCTTCCAATAAATTAAGGTATGTCTTACCAGAATTGATCCTACCATATACACATGCATTTTAGATATCATGAAATAGAACATTATAATGCCAACAATGCAATCGCTTGACTAGCATCAATTACGTGTATAGCTTGCTTACAGGTCCAGGTAAAGTTGGGATGAGGAATCCCAAGTCATCCAGAAATAGATATGAAATTATCAGCATCATTATAATGAAGAAAGAAATAATAAACAATATATCTTTAAAATACATTGTCATGTTTTAATCCAAGGTATGAATATTCTGGTTTTAACATTAAATGATGAATGGGACTTGAAGATAGCAATAGAAGGTGATCTGGTAGTCTTAGGCAGGGTTGAACTCCACATTCCTGGTGCAGAACTAAACCAGTACCTCACTTGGTCCTGTACTTCAACTAGAACTATAAAGAGAATAATAATGAGATGAAAGTACAATTTGCTTTCTTTCTGCAGACAATCAGTAACTGAAATAATGTCAACATTCAGACTGCATCACATAACATTGCATGGATAATCCTCTGGTTCATGCATTACATTTCTATCCATACACCATGAATGACTTTGTATGGCTTTTCTAAGTTGAAAC